GGGGGGGGCTGGAAGGAGCCAGTGGAGGGGCCGCAGGAGTCGTGCAGCACGTGGGGAGGCTGGGATGGGACAGGGACAGGAGGGGGGTGAGGGCTCCCCCAGCACCTCGCCCCAGGGCCACATCCAGCCCTTGTCTGCCACAACTTTTCGGAACCGGTGCTCCGAGCAGAGAGGGGCAAAAAGTTTCTGAGAGCCGGAGAAAGTGGCTTTCTGGGAGCCCTCTGCCCTGGGTTGTGGGGGCACAGGAGGGGCAGGAGCAGTCAAGGACCGAGGGGCTGCTGGCGCTGTTGGGAAAGCAGCAGAAGAGCTGCTGCTGGACTCTGCAGAGCAGCTATTAATACTGACGAATTAGGCACATATTTGGACAAGGAGAGTTAGTAACCACCAGCACGCGGCTTCTGAGGGGAGGGGGAAGATCCATCTCCCGTCATTCCCGGGCGAGGATGGATGGTTTTCTGCGAGATGCTTTGGCCCAACTTCATAGGCTCGGCACACGAGGGAAAGATGATGGTGTGTGTGGTGCGAGCAGCCAGGCAGCTGCGCTGGAGCCAGGCAGGGCTTCAGCCCTCAGATGTCCCCCAAAAGGATCCAGTTTTTCCTTGATTCCCTCTCCTCTTGCTCCAGATGTCACAGCCATGTCCAGCTGGCACAGCTGGGGCCATCCAGGCCCACAATTCTGGACCTCGAAACCATCCTCTCGGGTGACCTCTGAGACCGGGGGGTCCAAAGGGTTGTGGGTGTGCATCCCTCCTATTGCGAACCCATGCCCAGCCCCATCCCAGGCTAAGGTCTCCAAGGATGGGGAACCCCTTCTCTGTGCCCCTCCAGGATCAGACCACACTCCCGGGGAAAGGCTTGTCCCTCTGTGTAAAGGAAACTTCCCAAGGAACCAGTCCCTGGGTTCCTTGAGCAGTCAGGCTGCAGTTTCCCTGCCCTCCTCCAATTTAGCCCAATCTGTGTCCCTGCAGAGGCGCTGGCACCTCATGACTGCGGTGTCCCAGCTTCAAGCCCCAACACGTGTTCCCTCAAACCTGCCAGCCAAAATAACCCCTTGCTTCCGCGGGTGAGATTTAGGAGACTGGAGGGAATTGTACCCCATGTCCCTTCCCTGGTGTTTGTGCCACCACTCCTTGCGTGATCCACAGCCTGAGGACACGGCAGTGATGTTCTTGCAGCCCTGGGCTGGGAGTGCTGGAGCTCCCTTGGCCTCAGGATGCCAGGATGAAGCCAGGGTCACTACCATGCTGTGCCCACTCAACTGTCCTTGCTGGCTGCTCAGAGGGACTTTATGTCTGGCCGGTACCTGGGTGAGAGCCTGGTGCTGGGTCAGGGCAGCGCAGATTGTCAGGGGACAGCTGGGAGGACTGGGATGCCTGTGAGAGCCACAAATCCACCCTGGAGCCCATCCAGGGGCGAAGGTCCTAAGGGGGGACAGCCCCTCTGCACGCCCGGGGATGTGCCCGCGAGGGGGACAGGGGGTCACCGGGTGGGATGCTGGATGATGCTGCCCTCGCCACTCGTGATGCTGCTGGGGACGGGTCCCAGAGGCAGGGGACACGTGCCAGCCCACCCACGTCCCCGCTCCACCCCGCAGCATCCCTGCCCGTCCCGCTGCTGCTCGGGCCCCTCTGGATCCCTGATGAGTGACGGGGTGGGAACAGGTGGGGACACGCTCAGGGCAGCTGCTGCCTGCGCAGGTTGGCCCCGGGGGGCTATTTTGGGGGGTGAGCTCAGCACCGGCAGCCGGGAGGGCTCCGGCCACATTCCCAGACCCACAGCACGCCAAGGGCTGCTGCTTCCCCACCAGTGGGGCCACCAGTGTCCGGTAGGGTCCCCCCACCTGAACCCCTGTAGCACCCTACTCAAGGACATTTTGGGTTGGCAGCAGGAATGGGGCCAGGAGATCAGCTGCCCCTC